TTATTAGGTGTGTTAGCTTTCTGTCACGATGATCAAACAGGACCTGAAAATATCAACTTAGAAGAAGAAAAGATTTATTTTGGTTTATGGTTTCAAAGGTTTCAGTTCACGGTCACTTGGCTCCAGTAAGTCTGGGTCTGTTGTGAAGCAGAACATTATGGTAGAGCAAAGCAGCATGGCGGCCAGAAGGCACAAAGAGAGGAGAAGAGGGAGAGGATGGGATTCAGGTCCCAATATACCCTTCAAGGCTGCCCTTCACTGACTTATGTCCTCTAACTAGGCCCTGCCTCCTAAAGTTCCCTGTCTCCCAAGAGCTCCACCAGCTAGGACCAGGCCTTTTACATATAAGGCTTTGGGGACATTCCAGATTCACACTGTAACACTGGGTCACTGTGTATATCAATCACAGTTATTTTAAAAGGCTCTGATAATTTCATCACATGGGCCTCTTTGCTTCTGGACTGTTGAATGTTTAATTCTTGACAACAGATTGTAGGGTTTATTTTGTTTGTTGGTTTTTCTTAGGATTTGGTTGAATGTTAGATATTGTGTTTGGAAAACCAGTATAGACCTGCTTGCATGATATTTATGCCTAGAAATAGGTATGCCTGTCTTCTAGCAGGCTGATAGTGTGGGGAGTTAAATCTCACTGTCAGTAGTTGAGTTGGGTTTGAGTTCAGTTGTTGCTACAACTTCTGATTCCTTTAGTGGTGGGCTGTGGCTAGCTTGTTCCAAAGTGATCCAGAAGGATTCTTTTCAGTGCTCTGCTCTTCCCTCAAGTCTTAGCAGGCCCTGTTTCAGGGAGAGGGGGGGCTGGGGATGTTTTTTGTTGCATCATTGTCCCTCCCTCTGCAATGAGTAGTTGTTATTGTTTGGTGCAAGAGCTAGGCTGGCAGGGCAAGTTCTGTCCATGTGGAAATTTTCATTCTCTTGCTCCTGCCTCAGTTGTAGGTAGTACTTGTGTCCCTGAGCTTGGCTTAGGTGGGGGTGCTATGTAAGTGCTCCCACCTTCCTTCTCCCCATCATAGTTGCAGATGACTTTTTCTTCTCAGTTGAGAGTCCTGAACAGGGATTGGTAGATTTTAGTAAATAAATATCTTCATCTTAGGTGTCTAATTAGCTGGAAAAAAATAATTATTTAGGTGAATTAGTTTTTTTTCATAATTAAAAAAAATGGTGGCAATGATATTCTCTTAGATTTCTGCATTCTAAGCTGAGGTAGAACCTCATGGTGCATTTTACTAACTTTATAATCCCTGAATTTGATATTGGTTAAGAAGCTGTTAAATTTAAAAGAAAATTCACCTTAGTCTAATGACGAGTGTTAGGATGTCATTGGACCCTGTCTTTCTAGTCACAGTGTGGTCTGCATTTGATGACTTCTCATTGTGCATTGGATACCTTGCTGCATGGGTAGGGCCTGCCCACCTGCCTGGGATCTCCAGACTTCCTTCCCACAGGGCTTAAGAGGCCTTAGGTAGAGGCTTCTAAACAGCTGCTTGGCCAGCTGTTTACACCATCCCTTATGCTCTCATTAAAAACAGGAACCTCTGGAAAGTTTCAGAGTCGAGACTTTATAGAGTATGGCCCAAACACTTCAGATGATTTGCAGAGTGAGGGTCTTTGAGGTCCATTTTTCTGTTGTAAATATATCTTGTTCCTGAACCTTGTCTCTTTTTTTCTGAGGCAGGGATTGCAAAGTATCTTAATGTTTGGTGTTGCTAAGATGGTGTTGCTGAAGCCCCTCAACACCTTTGCACCATTGCAGTATTGGTCTGTGTTTAGAAGAATCTGCACAAACCTGGATACCATAAACAGCAAGGAGCAGCCTCAGCAGCCAGTGGTGAGGGACTGAAGAAGACAATGATTGTGTCCAGACAGTTGGTAAAGTTTTGTTGCAGAAAGAACTTAGACATGGGAGAGATGTTGGTGAGACTTAGATACTAGCAATTAAAGCAGGCTTCAGAATAATTAATATTTGTTGAAAGATAGGCACACAACAAAACAGAAAATGCACAAATGTTAATGGTAGTTATCTCTAGTGTTGGTAGTGATTATTTTCCTGTAGTTAAATTTGGGCGGGGGGTACCAGGGATTGAACTCAGGGTTACTAGACCACTGAGCCACATCCCCAGCCTATTTTCTATTTTATTTAGAGACAGGGTCTCACTGAGATTTTGCTAAGGCTGGCTTTGAACTCATGATCCTCCTGCTGCCTCTGCCTCCCAAGCTTGCTGGGATTACAGGCATGCACCACTGCATCTGGCTATAGTTAAGTTTTTTTTTTAACTTTTTAAAATTTCAGTGAACTATGTTACTTTTTCAAAGGTTTATGTTAGTGACCTTGTTATTTTTATTAGGTCCCCTTTTCTTCACTTGAACAGACAGATGTCTTTTATTTATTTGAAGATAACCAGAATGCTTTTGTTCAGATTAAAAAAATATATATTTAAAGCTTTTTTTATGCTTCATTTTGGTGTGGGATAGGAGGGTAACTAAAGGGATAAGCATAGGAGAAGGATATAAATATGAACTTGTGGAACCTCTTTATATTTATAGTCTTCAATTAGCCACTATTAAAAGTTAAAATTTATTAAAATGAAGTAAAAACTTGGTTTATTGGTTTCCTTAAGCATATTTTAAATGCTTAATAGACATAGATGGTAGTGGTTACCATATTGAATAGTAGAGATAGAGTTTCATTGGGTAGTACTGACCTAGATCTTGGTGTATTTAAGGTTCTTGGCTAGTAATGTTACTTAACTAAGTTATCCTCTTTTAAGATTAACATACATCCAGTGAGAGGGACTAGCCACCCAAATTTCCTTATTTAGCTTTAGATAATAAAGGTGATAAAGCTTTCTTTTCCCTTCCTTCCTATAACAGTATGGTGTGTGCATCAAGTCAGACCTTCCCTTTCTTGCTTTAAGGCATTTTTCATGCTTACCGATACACTGTGAAGGTGTACATTTTTCATTGTATTTAATAGATTGACTTACTTAAAAATAAACACTAAAATTATCTTTTTATATAATGATGCATATGATTAGACAATATATGTTCTTCAGTATCCTCTGAGATACTGAAACCCTTTCAGAGGATCAGAAGAATCAATTCTTTTTCTACTTTTATTTGGATATTATTTGTGCTTTCTATTATGTTGACATTTAAACTGATGGTGCAGAAGTAGTGAGAATAAAACCGTGGGGCCTTAGTACAAATCTTTACTTCCATGTGTTTGTATTAGCCAGAAAGGGTGTATGTGTGTGGAAAAGCCAGTTTTACTTATATGAACGCCTAGATGAAGCAGTGAAAATTATGACTTAAGAGTATTTTTTTAAAGTATATCAATGTGAAGAAATGGAAAACCACCAATGTCTAGTGGTGGTTTTGAGAAGAAGCCCTTGTATAGTTATATGAGTTTTGAGTAAACTAGCACTCGTCTTGGTCTGCCCCATGAAATACCATTTTTACTTGAATGACTGACAAACTGTGGTTATTTAGACTTAGGTATTTGACCAACATTTTCTCAAAAATGGGTGGAATAAGTCTGTTCAAGGAAAATAATGGACAATATTTATGGCCAATATTAGAATCTTAGTTTATCTACTGCTGTGAGCTTAATAACTTCTGAGTATTTAAAAAAGACTTAGCTGATGAGATGGTGGTAATATTAAAAATGTATCTTCTTTTTGATATTGTATAATGAAATGTGCCTTCAGTTACGAGATTTGTACAACTCAGTGAATCAGTCTTTTTCAAATGACCATTGCATAATGGTAGAAAATAGGTGTGTTAAAAACTGTTCAAAGTAGAAAATAAAGCAGAGTTTTAATGCAATTAAGTATAACACTAAAAATGAACCTGTTGAGAAAGAAATTAGGAAAATAATCCCATTCACAATAACCTCCATCCCAAATAAAATACCTTGGAATAAATCTAACCAAGGAGGTGAAAGACCTTTACAATGAAAACTATAGAACATTGAAGAAAGAAATTGAAGAATAAGGAAGATGGAAAGACCTCCCATGTTCATATATAAGCAGAATTAATATTGTTAAAATAGCCATTCTGCCAAAAGCAATATACAGTGTGATCCCTATCAAAATATCAGTGACATTTTTCACAGAATTGGGGATGTCCTAAAATTCATTTGGAAGAATAAAAGACCCAGAGAAGCCAAAGCAATTCTAAGCCAAAAAAGCAGTGCTGGAGGCATGACAATATATGAATTCAAATTATACTACAGAGCTGTAGTAACAAAAACTGCATGGTACTAGTATAAGAGCAGAGAACAGTAGATCAGTGGTACAGAATAGAAGACAAACAGACCCATACAGACAATCATCTCATTCTGGACAGAGGTGACAAAAACATACATTGGAGAAGAGAGAGCCTTTTTAACCAAGTGCTGGGTAAACTGGCTATCCATATATAGAAGAATGAAATTAGATCCTTCTCTCTTACCCTGCTCAAAAGTCAGCTCAAAATGGATCAGAGACCTAGGAATTAGAAACTGGAGCTCCTTGTAGAAAACACATCAATATATAGGCACAGGCAACAGTTTTCTCAATAGGACCCTTGAAGCTCGGTAAATAACACCAAGAGTTAATAAATGAGTTGGCATCAAGTTAAAAAGCTTCTGCACCTCAAAGGAAACAATTAGGAATGTGAAGAGAGAACTTGCAGAATGGGAGAAATTCTTTGTCAGCTATTCTTCTTATGGAGGGTTAACATCTAGAATATATAAAGAATTCAAACTCAATACCAAACACCCCCCCAAACAAAAAACAAAACAAAAACTCACAAACCAAAAAACCCAGTTAATAAATGGGAAATGAACTAAAAAAGATATTTTTCAAAAGAAGAAATACAAATGGCCAACAAATACATGAAAAAAAAAGGTTTCAACAGTTAGGGAAATGCAAATCAAAACTATACTGAAATTTCAACTCTAGTTAGAATGGTAGCCATCAAGAATATGAACAATGGCAGAACCCGGTTCCGGTGACGACTGCAGCGTACCCGCCAGCCCACGGCCCTCCGCCTCCGCACCCCACAAACCCGCCCCCTTCTGTGCCAGGAACCTGCTACCACCAGCACCATGTCCTATCAATACCCAGCACTGACCCCGAAGCAGAAGAAGGAGCTGTCTGAGATAGCTCGCCGCATTGTGGCTCCGGGCAAGGGCATCCTGGCAGCAGATGAGTCCACGGGAAGCATTGCCAAGCAGCTGCAGTCCATCGGCACTGAGAACACCGAGGAGAATCGTCGCTTCTACCGCCAGCTGCTGCTGACTGCTGATGACCGTGTGAATCCCTGCATTGGGGGTGTCATCCTCTTCTATGAGACACTCTACCAGAAGGCGGATGATGGGCGTTCCTTCCCCCAAGTCATCAAATCCAAGGGTGGTGTCGTGGGCATCAAGGTAGACAAGGGAACAAACGGCGAGACCACTACCCAAGGGCTGGATGGGCTGTCTGAGCACTGTGCCCAGTATAAGAAGGATGGAGCTGACTTTGCCAAGTGGCACTGTGTGCTGAAGATTGGGGAACACACCCCCTCATCTCTTGCCATCATGGAAAATGCCAATGTTCTGGCCCGTTATGCCAGCATCTGCCAGCAGAATGGCATCGTGCCCATTGTGGAACCTGAGATCCTTCCTGATGGGGACCATGACTTAAAGCGCTGTCAGTATGTGACTGAGAAGGTTCTGGCTGCTGTCTACAAGGCTCTGAGTGACCACCACATTTACTTGGAAGGCACCTTGCTGAAGCCCAACATGGTCACCCCAGGCCATGC